TTTTTATTAAAATATAAGAATAAATGCATACCAAAAAAAACTTTTTTATTTTAGTCAAAGCTCAGCTTCTGCTTTTGTTTTAAGCTAAAAAGTCAGCATTATATACGCCGCAATCTACAGACTTGATAACTTTTTCAAGCGCATTTTATTCCTAAGAGTATTTAAGTGGATGGCATCTTTGATTTTTTTGGTTTGCGTAAAAAAATCGATTCCAAAAATGCTTGTGAAAAAAAAAAGTTAAAATTTTCTGCTGCATCTTTTAATAACAGTGTGAACCACTTTTGAATCTACAAGATGAAACAAATATTACAAAAGTGCATGTTCCCATGAAGCTACATCTGCTAAGTGGAACTAACAGACTTTTTAAGGTTCTTCAACAAACAGACTTTTTAATTTTCTTATACATAAGTATACAAATTCAAAATAATTTTCTTTTAAAACAGATGAGTGAAATGTAAGAGGAAAAAAAAAATGTAAGGCTTAAAAAGATCAAAACTTCATAGATGGAAATTCAAGGGAGGGCAGTGTTCAAAAATACTTGATAACACAAATATTTAAAAACATTTGATTAAGCACATAATGCAAATTTAAAACATTTGATCAAGACTTTTTCACTAGATAATGTTGAACATCTTAAGTTTTATTTTACAAATATTTTAATGTTTGAGAGGTTTTCATAATTTTATCACCATAATTTCCTGTAAATCATTATTATATGATTTCAGTATTAATATTAAAAAAATTTCAAGTTTGTACCATCTTTGAAAGTTGTTAATCTTAAACTCCAAAAATCCAGGGCCAACTCATTTAACCCTCAAAAATAGTTATAATCTAAATTTTTTCAAAATTCAATTGTAAGATGGTTTCAAAAATTAAATTTCTGGTGAACTATTTTTTTTCACATTCAATATTCGCTCTAGGGTGTGTAGGGTTTTATTGCATTATAAAAAGATCTTTGTGAATTCTTCTTTGTGAATATTCTTTGTGAATATTGACATTGTAATAACAATAGACTTGAAATAATAAACTTGTGTTATGGAGATAATAAACTTGTTCTATGGAGAATGTAGAAAAAACAATTGATAATTTTAAAAAATGTAGAAAAATTAATGGACAATTTTTATTGCCTTTTTATTTGATTGCTAATATATTACATTATATTAAAAAATATTTTCATAATGTTAATAATACATAAATAAAGCTGAACAATAAACACAGGATATAAAAATACTTACATATATTATTATAAATAATTAATATACACCAAGTTTTATTTGAAATAAAAATTTGCTTAATAGCTTGTAAAACTAGAAACCTCTTCAAGAGTTTAATTTTAGTTCTAAAAAATGGGTACGTTACTTTCTTAGATAAAAAAGAAATGTTTTAACATTTTAATTTATTTTGTTTTAAAAATTTATTTAACGTTGATAAGTTACAATAGTTTAGTTTTCATAAACTAATTAAAATCAACACATATAACTTTTTGGACAACACACACCAAACCAAATATCGTTATTAATTAAAATCAATACATATAACTTTATGGACAGTACACACCAAATCAAATATTGTTATTAATTAAAATCAACACATATAACTTTATGGACAACACACACCAAAACAAATATCGTTATTAAATAAACAAATAGTTAAAAAAGACATTTAAATAAAAAAATGGTATGCCTGCACAAAACCAAAATTACAATGTTTGTATTTTTAATAATAAATTAAAAAAAAAAAAAAAAAATTAAAAAAATTAAAAATTAAAAAAAGTAGTAGCAACAAATTTTACAAAAGTAATTATTTCCTTGCCATTTTTTAATACGTTTTTTAAAACACACTAGACTGATACAAGACATGGTATCATTATCTAGTGAGTTCACAGCGATGTGGCTTTATACAAAACACTGTTAGTACCTTTGTACTTAGAGCCTTTGGGGGTAGTAACAATTTTTTGCAGCTTCGAGGTTGATAGGGTAGATTTTTTATTGTAAACATATTTTTCATAAAGGGTGGATTTAAATTTTTGATTGACTTAAATACTTCAATCATAAGAAATCTTAAATTTCTTACATGAATTCTGGGGCTATTATCTAATAACAATAGTTCTTCAAAAGATAAACCAAATCTTTTGTGTACTATGCACAGAGCTTTTTTATGAACTTTATTAGTAAATGTGTTGTCATGTTTAGAACAAAACATCCAAATTATTGGACAGTATGAGAAATTAGACAAAATAAAAGCGTTGAATAATAATATGGCATTTTTAAGTGTTAAAAAAGTTCTTATACGACCAAGAGCAAAACATTTTTTTTAGCTTTACTACATAACAACTTTATATGTTCACTAAACTTTATATGTTCACTAAACTTTATATGTTCACTAAACTTTATATGTTCACTAAACTTTATATGTTCACTAAACTTTATATGTTCACTAAACTTTATATGTTCACTAAACTTTATATGTTCACTAAACTTTATATGTTCACTAAACTTTATATGTTCACTAAACTTTATATGTTCACTAAACTTTATATGTTCACTAAACTTTATATGTTCACTAAACTTTATATGTTCACTAAACTTTATATGTTCACTAAACTTTATATGTTCACTAAACTTTATATGTTCACTAAACTTTATATTATTATGTATAGTGACCATAAGTAGCTTCACCTTGTCAGAAATATTTTTATGTTTCCTGTTGTTAGAAAATATTTTTCATAGTTTATTATACCAACTAATAGTAGTTGGACTTTGTCTAGATTTACTTTAAACCAAACAATGGTATTATTAATTTTCTCTTGCAAACGAGAAAGTACTCTTTCTACACTGTTATCTCAAACATATAGAGTGTTGTCTTTAGCAACATTAAAATGCTCCGTATCTTTAATAAATAAAAATTTATCTTTTATAAATATGTTAAATAAAATTAAATTATTATATAGATCTTTGGGGTACTCCTAAAGAAATATCTGACCAATCTGAAAGCGTAGAACCTATCATCACTCACATTTAAATATGCACTATCTTGATACTTTCATCAGAAAAGCCATATGCTTCCAACTTAACTATCACTAAATCATGAGCAATGAAGTCATATGCCTTAGAAAGATTAATTAGAAATGAACCGATTATATTTCAGTTGTCTATGAATTCCTACCATTTCTGCAGTAAACTGAAAAGTGCATGCTGAGTACTATACCTTTTACGAAAACTACACAGCTGGGAATCCAATTTAGGTTCAATAAATAGCAGTATTTGTTGGTGTAAAATTAATTCCTAAACTTTTGATAGTGCAGGAAGTATACTTATAGGACGGTAGTTTGATTTGTTTGTTGAATCATTTTTTTAAAAAAAGGGTATTACATCAGCCATTTTCAAAAATGACGGGAATATACCATCAGAGATACTATTATTTATGCAATCTCTTAGACTATCAGTAAAGTACATGAAATATGATTTTAGCACGAATGTTGGAATATCACCACAAGTCTTTTTCTTGCAATTCATTAAACCAATTATTTTTGAAATTTCATCTGTTGAGATTGGAAATTTAAAACATTCAGGGTAATTCCATGGTATTAACAGGGTAATTCCATGTCAATTGACCCACAAACTTTTAAAAATGTCACCACATATCTCAGATTTTGCTGATTTTTATATAGCTTAGAGTACGTAGTAAAATAAGAATTCTTTAAAAACTTTAGCTCCAAAAATAAGAATTTGTACTTAAGTTTATACATTTTCTTAAAATGTTTAAAGAAAAAAAGTTTTCTTAAAACATTTTAAGAAAGACTATTGAATATAGAATGATCAAAAACCAAATGGAACAAGTATAAACTAAAATAATTTTTAAAGACAATATTTTCAAAAAATCTTTACTTTGTTAAAAACAAAAAATAGAAATTCTAATATAAAAAGTTTAAGAGCTCCAGTATGATTGGAAAGTAGTGAAAAATCTTTTTCAAGATTCCACTACAAAAAAAGGGACACATGTCCTAGCCACCTCTGGTTTCTCAGGCCATGAATACAATTTTAACATGGACATTTATCAACACTACAGAAATGCTAAAGGTTTGAATGCTCTAGCTAGTCTGGAAAGTAGTGAAATATAAATTGCAAAAATCTGCTACTAAAAAGTGGGGACCATGACCCATTTTCTATATGTAAAAATCCATATTAATAGTTATTAACACTTTATTAATCACCCTC